GCAGGTTGAATTTCCTCAGCTGGCGAAGGAAGTACAACATCTGCTGGGCCTTTTTAACAGTGGAGTCAATGTGAGTGTCCCCCTTCAGGTCCTGAAAGATGGTGGTGCCCAGGAATCTGAATGACTCCACTGTTGTTATATTGCTGTCCATGATGGTGAGTTGGGGGAGTGTAGGGTGGTTTCTCCTAATGCCCACAATCATCTCTACTGTTTTGAGCGTGTTCAGCCGCAGGTTGTTATAACTGCACCAGGCAGCCAGCTCTTCAACCTCCTGTCTGTAAGCAGACTCGTCACCGTCCTGTATGAGGCTGATAAGTGTGGTGTCGTCCGCAAACTTCAGGAGCTTGACAGAGGAGTTCTTTGCAGTGCAGTCGTTGGTGTACAGGGAGAAGAGCAGTGGGGAGAGAACATATCCCTGGGGGGCGCCAGTGCTGATGGTGCAGGTGCTGGATGAGAATTTTCCCAGCCTCAATAGCTGCTGCTGCCTGTCTGTCAGGATGCTGGTGATCCACTGACAGATGGAGGAGGGCCCAGAGAGCTGGGTTAATTTGGACTGGAGGAGGATTGGGATGATAGAGTTGAAGGCCGAGCTAAAGGATCATAAAGGGAGGTTGCTGGAGGTGTTAATGGATCCATGGAGAGAAGGTCAGAATGGGTGTGGGGTGGGAGACAGGGTTTTTCAAACCTGCAAGAAAACTCATTAAAATTGTTGGCCAGTTGATGATTCAACACAGTGTACTATATATTACAGTCTCTGGCAGGACATGTAACGTGCTGTCTGAATTTAGGCAGTTCATGGGAGAGATTTGCTTTATTGAAGTCACTGAGAATGATTATAACAGAGTCCGTGTGTTGTTGTTCTGTGTCTGTGATCTGATCAGCCAGCTGTTGTAACGCTGCGTTCACATACGCTTCGGAGGAATGTAGACACTTACGAGAATGAACGAGGAAAACTCCTGCGGCGAGTAGAAAAGAATACGGTTGATGAAAAGTGCTTCTAGATTAGCACATCTTCAACGCTGTTACATCTGTACACTACCTTTCATTGATGTAGAAGCATGTCCCGCCGCCACGTGATTTCCCTGTTTATTCTGTGTCGCGATCCGCTCTAAACAGCTGGAAGCCCGTCAGTTGTAGCACGCTGTCCGGAATGGCTTCATTCAGCCAGGTTTCCTTGAAACACAGAGCAGCAGAGTTTGAAAAGTCCTTATTTATCCGGGAGAGCTGAAGTAGTTCGTCCGTTTTGTTGGGTAGAGAGTGGAGATTCGGCAGACGGATACTTGGCAGCACCGTTCTAAAGCCACGCTGTATGAGCTTGACGAGCATGCTGGCTCGCTTCCCACGTTTGCGTTTCTTAAAGCGCTTGAGCAGCACCACTGTTCCGCCAACTACAATGTCCAGTAAAACATCAGAATAGTCAAAAAACAGTGAAATATTGGGTGGTGTGTACTGCCAAATGTTCAGCAATTCGTCCCTGGTGAAACTGATTGTAGGAATATAACTAAAAACAGGACAAACTAACAAAAAGATTTAAACAACTGTGGTGGCCACCCGTGGTGCCTTCTTGGAGAAATATGGGGAATTTGTCACCATAACAAATTCCTTGTATTTGTAAACATACCTGGCAATAAAGCTCTTTCTGATTCTGATTCTGATGTTCACCAAGTCCAAAAAAAAAAAAAAGTAGAGATGTTGAAAACACATCAACAAGCATTTTTAAATCCTGCACAAAAGACTCATTTGGCCACACAGTAACGGACAATTTGCAAGCTGTCATGTTTTTGCAAGGTGAACGATCTTTACCAGCAGCGGATGTGCAATGGATCTGATGATCTCACCCCATTAACAACCCTCAGTTTACAGAGCAAAACGGCTGAAGAAGAAAGAGTGAGCGTTAATGATGCCCACGTTACCTCTCGGCTTCCAGACGCATCTCCTCCCGCTTCTGTCTCCTGAGTTCCCTGCGCCGCTCAAAATCATCATCCATGCTTCAATCCTGAGAGCGTGACCCTGGAAAACAACAGAACATGTGTGTCCTTTTAGTCTCACGCATGAACCTTACATAAACTCACAGAATCCCCTCTGTTACTGAATATGGTCTGGATTCCACAGCTGCTGTGAGTATTTGGTTAACCTTTACACAAAAATCACGCATTCCCATATGCAAGACATTTACAGTCGATCTTTCTCAGCCCGACATCAAACAGATCACAAGTTTGTTTTCATAATACCACTTTAAATGGAAATTGTGAGGGAGAGAGAGGGAAGAATGAAGAAAAAAAAGAGACAGAGAATGGGTGAGGAAAGGATGTTAGCACAGGATGTCCACTCAGTCAAGCAGAAAGACTCTGACTAAATATACTTCTGATGTTCACCAAGGCCAAAAAAAAAAAAAAAGTAGAGATGTTGAAAACACATCAACAAGCATTTTTAAATCCTGCACAAAAGACTCATTTGGCCACACAGTAACGGACAATTTGCAAGCTGTCATGTTTTTGCAAGGTGAACGATCTTTACCAGCAGCGGATGTGCAATGGATCTGATGATCTCACCCCATTAACAACCCTCAGTTTACAGAGCAAAACGGCTGAAGAAGAAAGAGTGAGCGTTAATGATGCCCACGTTACCTCTCGGCTTCCAGACGCATCTCCTCCCGCTTCTGTCTCCTGAGCTCCCTGCGCCGCTCGAAATCATCGTCCATGCTTCAATCCTGAGAGCGTGACCCTGGAAAACAACAGAACATGTGTGTCCTTTTAGTCTCACGCATGAACCTTACATAAACTCACAGAATCCCCTCTGTTACTGAATATGGTCTGGATTCCACAGCTGCTGTGAGTATTTGGTTAACCTTTACACAAAAATCACGCATTCCCATATGCAAGACATTTACAGTCGATCTTTTCTCAGCCCGACATCAAACATATCACAAGTTTTCATAATACCACTTTAAATGGAAATTGTGAGGGAGAGAGAGGGAAGAATGAAGAAAAAAAAGAGACAGAGAATGGGTGAGGAAAGGATGTTAGCACAGGATGTCCACTCAGTCAAGCAGAAAGACTCTGACTAAATATACTGCGGGGTACATGGCAGAGGAACCGAGCCCACCCAGGAGATACAGAGCTGTTGTCATTAATCTCAACGCTGTGATGCTTCAGACGGGCCGTTTCGAGACCGCCCTACTTTCACTTCAGTGATGATAACCTCTGGAACGTTTTAGCTTTCAAAACATAGCAGAAATTCGCTCTCTCGTCTCGATAATGCTCCAACACAAAGAGTATTTCAGGGTCTTTCTCTTTCTCGCTGCAGCTGGAGCTACCAGAAAGGGCCAAAGCCGTCCTCTTCCTTTCCCATTTTTTCACCCTCCCTACTTTCCTCCGTTTTTCTCCCTCCCATTATGGTGCAAACTCTCAATCATGGCCGACGGGTCTGCCTTCTCCCTCTCTCCCCTTTTCCTTTCTCTCTCTCTCTCTCTCCTGTTCTGACACTGTCCCTCTCTCTATCTTTCCCTTCCCGACTCCCAATTATTGCCCATTCCATTCCTTTCCGTTTTTTTTGCTCGTTCCCTCCCTCTCTTTTGTGATTATGGAGCTGTTGCTGGTTAGTTTGAATTCGCTTGTAGAAAGTGTTTAAAAATGCAAATGTTTGCAGACTTCTTGCTTGATACTTGTTTGAAAGTGTAAGTTTTAAAAAAGTAGTTAGCTACACAACAAGTATCTAACAAAACGTATCTAGCTACATTAAAGCTATTTAAAGGGGCAACATTTTATAAGCATTACAGGAAATAAGTCGAAAATACACTCTTACAAATAAAGGTTCCAAAAAGGGGTTTTCACAGCAATGCCTTAGAAGAACCATTTTTGGTTCCCCAAAGAAACTTTCATTGAAAATTTCTTAAAATAACCCTTTTTTTATTAGTGTGAAGAACATTTGAATAATCTTAAGAACCCTATTTCACTATAAAGAACATTTTGTGCAATGGAAAGTTTATTGATGTTAAAGGTTCTTCATGGAACCATTGATGCCAAAACAGAACCTTCAATTAATTAATTGGGGTTGGGTTTGGACATCCTGGAATTATAAAGACGTACTGAATATCCAAAACACACTAGCAGAACTGACATATTCTTCTATTTACTGTGCAATATGATCTTTTTTATTGCAGTCACGATATAACATAATTAAAGGCTGATGTATGTGAAAAATATAAATCATCAAAGACTTACAATCACTACAACAGAAAATCAACAAGCAAAAGCGAGAGAAAAAAATATATTTTATTTTAATTAAATAAGCTCAAAACAAACAAAAAAATATAAAATATATAAATAATTAGAAAATATATATTTAAACAAAAGATAAAAGATTTTTTATTCTCACCAAGATGCTATAATTCATCTGGCACCAAAATTAAATAAATAAATAAATCAGGAATATTAGGGTGACATTATCAAACTAGAATGGATAAATTTACATTAAATGCAAAAACATTATTACATACACACATATGTATATGTCACTTCATTTACACGAATGAACCAGCAAAAACACTACTTGAACGACACAATGACACAATGTTTGAATTTTTGATCATTGCCTCAGCTCACTTGGTGACAAAACCAACAACTTTGCATTTTTCTTGTGGGAAAAAAGCAGCTTATTGTCGGAAAACCAACACACAGCTTAGCTACTGTCCCGCTACTGAAAAAGTTAGCAACATCACTTTTTCTTGGTTTCCTAACACTGCTTGACACACAAATATACACACACAAAATGTGCAAGAACGGAGAGAGAAAGAGGGTCTCAGACACAAGAGAACAGGAAACACTTCTCCTCCTAAACCCCTCCTCCATATTCACATAACTCTGAGAAGGACGCACAGAGAGAGAGAGAGAGAGAGAGAGAGAGAGAAATGGACAAAACAAAAACAACAGCGGGAGAGGGGAAGCAAGGAATGTGAGCAAGAAACGGCGAGCGAGAGATCGAGCCGATCTTCCTTATCAGGCAGAACCACTACGCCCGCATTCAACAAACCGCAGGAATGTGGTCTATCTTTAGCTGGATCTTCTGTTTGCCGGAGCAAGGCTGCCCTTCATATCTGAGCCCTTGAGCAAACAGCACTGACTCAGCTCAATAAAACTGTCACAACTGTGTACGATCAACTCAAATTGAATCACGCTCTTGCAGCGATGACTACACACGCTGACCACGCTAAATTTATGATTGAAATTCAGGTTGTGTTGAAAAGAGGTAACTGACAATAAGGCTGTGTCTTCAGAGAAAGAATGTAGAAATGGATTTGTCTCTTCCTCTCGTGGACCACCCGTGTGCCTAGATTCATGTCGCTGCACTTTTTCCCTTATTTACATAATATACAATACTAAACTAAAATAAAATAAAATAAAAACTGTAAAAAATGTGAAAGTGTATGAGCTGATCATACCAGATGTTTTACAGAAAGCTATTTTTGTTAAAGCACATAATTTCACTTGACTTCTCATTAAAAATTATATATTTATTATTTATATAAAATAAAATAAAATAAAATAAAAGGGCTTGGTGATGTCACCCCATAACTAAATAAATACATTTTTAAAAGTTTAAAATAATGTGTACTGATGAATCATTGATGTTATAAATATAATTTATATAACATAGAATACTAACAACTACACTAAACTAAACTGAAATAAATGGAATAATGTGTGCTGATGAATCATTAATGTTTCGCGTAATGTAGCCAGGCATTTTCACAGTCTGAAACGTAACCCACCTCTGACCACAGGCAATTCCTCGTACCCGCTTTGCAATAAAAAATAATTACAAGCTCATTAATGGTCTGGCTTCCCCCAGCAAGCAGGGAGACGCCTCCTGTCTAGAGAGCACGCGCTGGAATGGCTGTAATAACACATTTACCTGGTAAATTACTATGTTCCTCATAAGTATGGTGCTTAACCCTTCATCAAAGCTCATCACTGCAATGACCCATGGGAATGCAGTCTTAGAGCCTCCGTCTGTGATGTTCTCTATCGTGAATGTACACACGGATGCCTGTGCCAAACCACGCGAACGATTCAGATTTTGGCTCTCTTTAAACTCTAGAGGGAAAAAGGAGCAGCTGATGAAGAAAACTAAAAATGATGACAGATGGAAAATGTCCTTAGTGTAGTTTACATGGGATTTTGCTCAAATGGCTCTTGAAATTTAAGATGGTAACATGAAACCCATGCATGTAACCCATTTTACTTATTTTTCCTGAATAAAACTGCATATTCAATGAGACGTCAACACACTTAGACTGAACAATCTACCATTAGCGAGATGCTCGTCGTTCGCCGAGATAAATGTTGAGGTAAAGAGCGTTCTTTATAACCAGAGCCAAAGCTGATGTGATCCACAAGCCCGCTGCCAAAAGGATTAAATAACTAAATGTTTGGATCTACCACCCACCGTCTTTTGGACCCCAGCCACTCTGGACAACTTGAGAGAGACTAAATTTACGGCTCAAGAAGAGAGCGGAGCGTTGCCAACATAAACCATCGCCCTTATTTGCATGTCTGTCAATATAGGTCCTTTAACATAGAGTGGCTTCGCTATCAGAGTTTATGCTAACACACTCTCCGCGGCCGCAGCAGGAGTCTGGCGTAGGAGGACGATTCAGAACGTCTTCTCTGGCCAAGATTTTAACAAATGGATGAGCTGCGCAGACATGTTGCATTAAAAAGCGTTTTAAAGTAATGTGGTGTATATTTCACCATGAAACAACGTGATATTAAGTACCACATAAAATGGCCTTTTCCCTACAGGAAGAAGTAAAGTAAATCTATGTGTAACCATCAAAATGTCATGATGTGCACTTATACTGACTGCACTATTAGTTCATAATAGGAAGATGTTTATACAGTGCAGCCAAAGTAAACAAACAAATGGGGCAATTCCAAATAAATTTTCACGTCTACATGGCTTTCACAGCCCATTCTGTAATGTAATGTATTTCCAAGTGAAATGTGTGAGAAAATTAGGTTTTGGATTTTTGGATTCTGATGCAAAGAAAAACGTTTTTTTCTGTGGAATAATGTGCTGTAGCAGGCATTAAGACTCGACATTTGCATTGCATCAACATTTCAAGCAAAATTCAATGTTAAGCCAGAATAAATCGTCATAAATGTTCTCAGGTTTGATCAAATGTGGGAAAAGTTTTTGAGGTTGTGCAACTGCAGCCAGGTGCAGAATGGTATCCCAGAAATCTGCAGCGTCAGCGGCCTATCAGAGCCTCAGACACACACCTCATTAAAGACACTGCAGGTATGCCAGATATGTGCAGTCGGCCTTTCCATCTGGATTCACTGACAGCTGCTCAACAATGTCAATGAAAATCCAAATCTTTAGTTCTATACTACAAAAACGCTACATACTAAAGTGATTTATTGATCTGACTGTGTTTCTAGACATTTTTAGCACATACAGTATATAAGCACATCATTTGAACAGGATTTTAAATTGAACCAACACAGCCTGTTCTTAAATGAACACTGTGGAATACATTAGTCTTAAGTGATGATCATTTGATGTGTATATACCATTTAATGTATCATTAGATCCGTAAAGTCTGGACATGTCAAGATGATCGTGAGAGTCATATTACAGTCAATTTAAGACTTTTGAAAGATCTTTTTAAGGCCAAATAAAGAAAATTTAAGGAATACATCAAAGGGAACACAACATAT